AAAAGTGACGGACACGTGATGTCGATCATTTCCGACCCAATCGGACCCCAACGAATTTAACGTACGTACATAAATATTTTTAAAAATATATCTTGAGAACTAAATAACGTAATTTATTGAAAATTTTTTTTATTTAATTATATGAATTCATATAATTAAAATAAAAAATTTCAGCGAATTTCATCAGGTGGTTCTTGAGATATATTCAATCAAAGTTGCATCAAGATTTAAAAATACCTTAACAAATTGAAACTGTCCAAATTTTTTAGAACCTTCGATCGAAGATATCTTGACAACCACCTGATGGAATTCGGTAAAAAAAAAAAATTGTAATTCCACAGATTCTTAGAATTAAAATAAAAAAATTTCATCGAGTTTAATCAGTGGTTCTCAAGATATATTCAATCAAAGTTGTATCAGGATTCAAAACGTCTATCAAATTGAAACTGTCAAATTTTTTTATCGAAGATATCTCAGCAACCACCCCATGAAATTTAATGAAATTTTTTTTATTTAATTCATTGAATTTGTAGAAATAACATAAGAAAATTTCATCGAATTTTTTCAGATAATTCTCGAGATATCTTCAATCAAAGTTGCATCAAAATTCAAAACGTCTATCAAATTGAAGCTGCGCCAAATTTTTTTAGAAACTTTGATCGAAGATATCTTGAAAACCATCTGATAAAATTTGGTGAAAAGTGTTTTATTTTACTTCCATGAATTCATAGGAATAAAATAAAAAAATTTCGTTGAATTTCATTAAATGGTTCTCGAGATATCTTCGATCAAAGTTTTTAAAAAAATTTGGCGCAGCTTCAATTTGATAGACGTTTTGAATTTTGATGCAGCTTTGAATGAAGATATCTCAAGAATCACCTAATGAAATTCGATGAAATTGGCTTTATTTTAATTCTACGAATTCATTGAATTAAAATAAAAAAAATTCATTGAATTTCATCAGGTGGCTGTTGAGATATCAATAGAATTTTCGACCGAATTCCCGAAAACTCTTTTTACAAAATTTATTTAATCGTATTTCTCTGCACGAATAATTGGAATAAATTAAATGAATATCATTAAATTATTTTATTTAAATTTCTTTACATTGACAAGAACTATTTAAAAAAAGTTTCTGCGCATTTTAAAGTTTTTTTCATATCGAATTTAGCGCTTTTTTTTATATACGATTCATTAACTAAAATCAATATTTATTGTTATTGATATTAAAAATAACTTACACAAATTTCTCTGCATTGAATCTATGAATTTAAGCCTTTTCTATTGAATTTAGTATTAAATTTATGAGAAATAATTAAAAACCAATATTTATTGCTAATTATATACTGTATTATAATTATAGAATTTAGCATTTTCATTTTATGCATGACTAATTAATATTTATCGTTAATTAATATTAGAATATTTATTATTAATTTCTCTACATTTGATACCGTATAGCACTGCATATAGTACCCCGGGGACTATTTAAGAAAGCCGAATAATACCCCCAAACATTAGGAGATAGGAGGATAATGCAAATAATCGTTACTGATCACCATATACCTTACTATTAAACATCTCAAACACAATGAAAAGATCGCACTATTAATTATGAAAAGTGGATCACAAATCGCTTGTCAAAGAAATAGAGAATACTATTCCAGGGGGAGTACTATATGCAGCGTTATACGGTAATATAGTAACAGCTAAACGCATTTAGATATATGCGTCAAATTATAACAGACCAAATTTCTGTGATTCCCATATGAAGTTACATCAGTAAATAAAAATAGAAATATTTAATTTATCGTTATTCACTCTTAGTTACGCTATTTCTATATTTAAATAATTGGTCCTTCTTTATTAGACTTACATATATTTAAATTTTATTTTGGCCAATTACCAGAACTTGAAATAGTTATCGTTTTGTTATGAGCGCATTCATATCTAATTGTCGAATTATAAATTTTAGCAGATTCATTCGCATAATATTAAATAACTTTAATATTTTGTGCATTGTTAATCATTTAATAAAAATAAAAAAGGTAGGACTCGAAATGGTTGTCGTTTGATTAGATTTTTTTGCCATCAACTATCAAATTGCTTACCGTATCATTCGCTATTTTTTTTTTGCTTCATTCATCATTTAATAAAAATCTATAAATAAAATTCTAAGTGGTTTTCGTTTGATTAGATTTTTTTTGTTACCCAACTGTTGAATTGCTTACTGTATCATTCACTTTTTTGTTTCGTTTATCATTTTTAAAAATAGAACTCTACTAGTGGTTATCGTTCAATTAGATTTTTTTGCAATCAACTGTTGAATTGCTTACTGTATCGTTTGCTTTTTTTTGTTTCGTTTGTCATTTAATAAAATATAGAAATAGGACTCTACTAAGTGGTTGTCGTTTGTTTAGATATTTTGTTCTTTTTTTTATCCAGCCGTTGAATTGATTGCTGTCTCGTTCGCTTTTTTTTTCTGTTTTTTTTTTTGTTTTAATGTTTTAATTACAATACGGACTAAATAAAAAAAAAAAGTAAAATTAGTATCAATATATGTCAAAAAATATTTAAACCGCTACTCTTGACCTTCAATAAAGTTCAAAAAAAAATTTAAAATTTCTTTAGATTAATTAATAAATCATAAATAGATATACTCAGTATATTTTTTTCTTTAGATTAAAGTAATAAAATACAGCTATAAACCTAAAAATGAATAGTGAAAATCAAAATATAGAAACCTCGTCAACTTCTGATAAAAAAGAATGTAGCTGCTGTAAATGTATAATTAAAAAAGAGGATTTTTGTCATCCACGAGGGATAATCCGCAATATGAGCATTCAACTTGCAATAAATGCTGCGAAAAACGTAAAAATAATCGAAAAAAAATAGACGTGATCTCCAGCAAAAGAAAACAACTTAAAGCTAATTCAATTGCGGCCACTAATTCAGTTGCAGCTACAAATTCTAATCAAAGTGATCTGTATAATATGGATCTTGATCATGATAGTGATTCTTTTGAAGATTTGCCTCTAGATTTTTTGCATGAAGATAACGTGCAGATCGACCAAAATATAGAAAACGTCGATGAATTCATTAATAACGATGGGCTTCTGTACAATTTAGATGAGGTGGAAGAGTTAATATCTATCGATTTCAAGATGCTGAAAAATCAAATGAGTCAGTAAAAGTATTTTTTGAAATTAAGCTAGATTCAGATCTGATTGAAAGTATTTTCCCAGAATCTTGGTTAGATACACATGATTTCGAAACTATTAAAGGATCTTTTCATCAACTAATAAGTGTTGTTGTTCTTCCGTTGGAATATCGATCTTGTTACTACTGGAACGTATCTAAAATTTATCCTAATAAAAGAATGAATAAGTTTACAGGCTGTGTAACTGCATACCTTGAATGTGCACAACATGATGATAGGGATTGGCAAAGATCTAATAATCAACCTATAAAACGAGTAAGTGAAGCTCGTGCACCTATTGAAAGATATAGCTGCTTTGGAAAAATAAAACTAACTATCGATCCCCAGAAACGGTGTATTATTGTTCAAGGAAGTCATCAACTAGCACATAAGCATCCAGAATATAGAAAGGTTGAATTTCCAGTAGCAGCAAAACTGTGGATTCAAAGCAATACC